CAAAAAAAAAAAAAAGGCACTGTCTGGCTGATGCAGGGCTCATCAGCATTCCAGGCACGAAAGGGGTGGCAGGTTGGACATCTGAGATTATCCAGGACAACTAAATGTCAGTGCTTAAAACAGGAACGTTTGGGAACCAGCGCAGCTCCTCAAGGTTGCTCGCTGCAGCGCCAGGACTGCCAGATGTTCTTAGCCCTGTCCGTCCTTTCAGATTTGAGTAGGTTTATGTTACGCATTGGGGTCTGGAAGGGGAAGGGAATGAAGGGAACTTGATTTACAAAACAAACAAATTCCTTGGTAATGTAAAGCCAAGGCAGTGTTAGCCTGGCTGACTCGGATTCCTCCAAACCTCCATTAAAATACCAGCAGCAAGTGTGGCTGCTATTTTTGGCCACTTTTTTAAAAAGCTGGGAAGGAAAGTTCTCTTTTCAAATTGAAGACACACTCTCAGCAAGTATTCCTTGTTTGTTTCTTCCTATTTATTTAGCAATGCCACAAAATTTGGAGACTGGAAGAAGGAAACAATGCAGGGAGGATGTCCCCAAAGCCAGATGGAGTTTGCTTAAAGCATCAGAGGTCCCCAGAATAATCTCCAAGAGAAAGGGTATCTACTACTCTCAGCGAAGTAGTGGGAAAGGGATTCACTGCTGTGTGTTAATATCAGAAACAAATGCTGTACCCGCTCGAGGAAGCGGAACGCCCGCCGTATTGCAGTGGACTCGGAGGATTTGTGGGTGGGCACAGTATGGTTTGATGCCTGCTGGCGTGGGTGAAATGGACTCTTGTGGGTGGAGAATTAGTTGTGGTTTAGGCTGGTGACAGGAGACCTGCAGCCGTTGCTGTGTTTATTGCTGCAAGAGGGGAGGCGTCAACAACTGGCACGTAGTTTGTATTTTTGCTTTGGAAAACAACCCCTCAGTAACAATTTCCATTAAACAATTTGGATCTAAGCTCTTTTCTGGCATAATTGCTACCCATATAAACCAGCACATCGGACTTCTCTTTGCTGCTGTGTCATTATGCAACTTTTTTTGGCTGTTGCTTTTTAGTGCCATCCCTTGCTCCTTAGCCACTGAGGCTAACTCCTCTTCCTCACCTTCCCAGTCCCACTGCGAAACCAAGCTGGGTCAGACCAAAGGCTGTACGCACCCAAAATCCTACCTCCAATGCAACCAGAGAAGGACCAAAAGTCCCAAATTCGGGTGTTAAAAGAATGTATTCCTAACTTTTACTCACATTCTCCATAATACCCAGTATTTTACAGTTTGCTATCGTGTCTCCCTTTCGGCTGCTTCATTTTCAAGACAAAAAGTCGTCACCTTTTCAGCCTCTTCTCCTGCAGAAATTATTCCACAGCCCTACAAACCCACTTGCCGCATTTCACAGCACCTTTGCTGCTTCTTCTACATCTTTCTTGAAATAGAGGTGCAAACCTGCAAGCAGATTTCAACCCGCTGGCGTGCCCCGGGTTCTCATGGCAGCAAAACAACCTTTGTATTTTGTCTCCACTGTGCAAACAGATCACATTCCCCAGGCGTTGCTTCCCTGCTTCTTAAACAACTGGAGGATCCTCCCTCCTTACAAGCTCTCTTCAAGTACTCCCAGCTCTCTAAGGCTGGGAAAACACTCTGAAAATTTGAACACAGCACATCGGTAAAGTCACCCACGCCTGGCAAATCTTTCAAATCACCCTAAGACTTCTCAGAGGTGCCTGGATTCTATAAAAGACAGCTTCAGCCTGCTCTCCACCGTATCACCTACCTACCTACGATAAATGCTACTCTTTCTCGTGTTTTATACTAACCGGCCTGCTACTCAGACTTCCCAGAGTGTGTTTTTCTCCTTCATTTCCATTAGATGAAGTTATTTTGGAGAATTAACCCTGTGTTTAGTAGCTCTGGGAAGCTACCGGCATGCATGGAAACCCCACAACTGTCTAAAAAAGACTTAAACGCCATGGGTATAGGATCCTAAGGCTATCATTTTACATTTTGGTGGTTTCTCACTATGATGGTAGCTTAAGTTGCCCTGCCCGCTTTTAAGACCATGCAATGAATCATGTCATGGAACAGATCCAGCAGAAAGAAAAAAATTAAAAGAAAAAAAAGGTACATTTTTCAGCCAAATAAACTCTCTTACTGCGTGCGTGCACAAGGGAAATTATGCGAATAAGCTGCTGAGGTTGAGAGTTGCTTAAGTTGATTCTACTACCGAAGAAACACACTGGAATCGCAGCTGAAGTCATTCAGGTGCTTCAGAAGTGTTACCTGGCACAAATTCTTCATTAAAACAGCTAAATGTTTGAGCACGTCTTTTGGCATGGTTGGGAACTTTTCTAAAACCCTAGCAGCTCCCAGAAACTACTTCAGGATTTTTATATCAAAACCAAATGCCCTAACCGCCCTCTGCACTATAATCAGCAGCTAGTACAACATATTAGAAACCGATAAAAGCTAATAAACGAAACATTAAAATTGAACTCACTGCCATAAAATTCTGAGGCAAAAGCAGTGGGATTTTTCTATTTGACACAAACTGCATTCTGGGATGATATTTAGTTTGGTGTTTCCACTCAGCAAGGTCCAACAATAACTTATTTATAAAACTACATGACGGGATCACTTTCTTGAGGTTTCTTCTTTCTTTCTTCCTCTAAGTGAACCTTTAAGCATCTCTCCAAATTATTTACGAGAGTTTTAAACTCTAACCGGTGGTAACGAAGAACTTTAAATATAGGGACACTTATTAAATTCCACTGACCTTAAATCTTGCTGTCATTCAGCTAAATTTACTAAGGCAAGTTGCACTTCATGCAACTAAAAATCTGTATCTTAGCTTGTCAAGGGAACTTGGAGGAGCTTAAACCTCTTATTAACATCACATAATATTCCAATGTGAAGAAAGGAAATATCTCTTTCCCATCTTCCCTTTAGTATAAGAACTGTCTTTTCCTAGTAGCTATTTCAAGAAATAAACCCAACATCCTTGGACAGCTTTTATCAGGTAGAAGGCGGCCAAGCCCATGAAATACACACAGCCGTTTCTCCTTTCCCTAAGATGGGAGGGAGGAACTGCTCCACAAAGACAGCTCAGGCACCTCTGCTTCGTTTCCCCAGGATACCCACACTACCTCTACCTGCCGTTAACTTCTTATTTCGAGGCATTTCTCACTGAAATCAAGGACCCAACTGCACAATTTTACGCTTCGAGCTTACCAACTGTAAGGAAGGCTTTTGACACCACGGAGCCGTGCTCGTTGATGGCTTCGCACATGTACTCCCCGGCGTGCTCGGGAGTCACGTTCCTGATGTGTAAGAAGCTCGAGCCCGCTTGAGACACGAAGAAGTAGGTGGGCTCTGTGACAGCGCTGCCTGGCAGCGCTGGAGGTTTTGAATGAAGCACGTGGGAAGGGTGGTTGGTCATAAGTCCTCTGCTGTTGTACCAACGGATCACGGGAACAGGTAGGCCGGTGGCATTGCAAGACAGCGTAACGTCCCCACCATCTATCACAGTGATGCTTGCTGGTGAAGAGACTATAACTGGCCTAGAGCCTTTGCCTAGAGGGGGAAAAAGAGAAAACCAACACCCAAAGAATGAATTTGGCTAAGGAATATGACACTAATGCCAAAATGAGTCAAATACAATTAAAAGAGTAATGCGTGCTTCTTTTTAACCATTTTAATAGTTATTTCTTCTCTAGACAGCCTCTCCAGACTTCCTCTCCTTCCAGAAGCTGAGACTCGTGCTTAGAGAAGGCTGATGGAAAACTACACTCAAACCATGCTCCCAATTTTCTAAATAATGAAGACTTGACCATCAGTGAGCAATGCAGTGGGGGCGAGACTGGCTTAGTCCACTCCACAGACAAGCAAGTCACAAAATATCGGCTCAGCCAGGCTCTGAGCAGCTAACACCCATTTTCATAGCTACAGAGAAGGTCAAAAGCTTCAATTACATCTGACAGGGAGAGAACAGGAACAGCAACCATCTTGCCAACATCCTTGTACTGGCAGAAATCAAGTTCTCTAGGTATTAGAAAGTATCATAGACTGAAAAGTGATCAAAAAGAGTATTGGTACCTGCTAATCTGATACAGGGGAAGTGTGCATTAACTCGAGGATAATAAACCAGCATAATTACTGGTCAGCCAATACTGCTAAGAATACCAGTTCACCCAGCACAACAGGACTCTGATTCTATTGAAGAATAAATCGTGCCAAATTCAACCGTAAGCCAATTTAATTGCAGCTGGTAATCCAGGTTTTAAGTATCAAGTAACCACGTTACCCCAGAAATACCTACATCTCTTAAAATTCAACTGAAAGCACCTTCTTTGTAAGATGTGCTACAAACAGTGGTCAGAAACAAATCAATACATAACCTAGAGGGGGGAAAAATAAAAAAGCCAGAATAAAGCTTCAAGTACAAGTGCTTAATTTGAGTTCCTGAGGGCTGCAAGTGCTCCTACCCAGGTGGACACGAAGTCTCCCAGTGGACTGCACAAATCCAACCCCATTGTTCGCTACACACTGGTACAAGCCAGAGTCCTCTTGGGTGACGCCGCGGATCCGCAGACGGTTTCCCGTCAGCAAATGTCGTGGAGAGAGACGGAGGGGAGCTGCGTTGTGGAGCCAGGTGAGGGTCGGTGCAGGGCTTCCACGAACATCGCACCAAAAATGCACAGTCGCTCCAGCGGCCACGGTTTCATCTTGCAGTCCCTTCGAGATGGAGGCAGGTTCTATAAAGAGAAATAATTTTATATAAACCACCGTAGGTTGATCTTAGCCTAAGTCCTGAACAAAATACTGCAAAATGTTAGGCAAACTTATCGCATACAAAGGCTACGCAAGCCCCACACACTTTCAGGTCTACGCAGCCTTAAGTTGTTTTCCCCCCCTCGACTTGCTTATTTTAACGGTCTCTCCCTTCTATTCCAAACAGTCACATGTTTGCATTAGTACTGTAAATAAAACACCTGTATTTTCAAAATAATTCTTCAGTGACATTCCCATAACAAAAGGCATATTGTGTGTCAACAACCTCTTTTCCAAGTTACTCTAAAGTACACATTTCAAAAACCAAACAAAAACAGCCACAGATGCAAAAACCTCAAACAACAGGAAAATCTGCTACAAAGGAAAGGGGAGATTAGGAACAACTTGCAGCCGCACAAAGGAGGCCAAATATATTTCTTTTGCTTTTGTTTTTTTGTCCTCATCCAAACATATCGCCTCTCCTCGCCAACTTTTTGCTTATATACAACTTCAAAAGAGAAACATCTGATCTCTGGCACATTATTGACAGTGTATCCCCTAACACTCGGCACTCTGCAGAAAAATAAATAGATCAGTTCTTCCCTCGGAGTTTCTTATCCTTTACTGTTTAATTATTTCAGACTGCGAAGGATGTGAAGGGATAAATACTTACGGATTTTAACTTGGGAGAGCTGATGAGATACGGTCATTCGGAATATATCTTTATTCTTTATTTTAATATGCTTAGGTTGAGAAAGAATGTTAGGCTATTTGTAATCAGATGCCAAAACCAGCAAGTATACAAAGCAAACGTTCATTGCCTGGACGTGAAAACGTCTTTACTTCTTACCAAGTACAGTAAGCGAATAGTTAACGTATTTCACTTCTCCAAATTCATTTCCCACCACACAGGAGTAATTCCCAGAGTCCGATGCCTCAAGCCTGTCCGTCACCAGATGGGAGTGCAGCAGTTTCCACCTGCCTTTTCTCAGCGCATCCCGGCCGTCTTTAACCCAGCGGACGGAGGTTGGAGGCAACCCACTGACAACACATTCCAGAGTCAGAGAGCTGTGCTGGGGCACTGCCAGGCTCTGGGCTCCCAGGGGGTGAAGGATGCGGAAGCCACCTGAGGAAGAGCCTGGAAGAAAGGAGACTAGGTTTACCACTAACCAGTCTTTTAAATCACACTCTCCCATCCTCTCCTCCAGGTTCATGATGTCTTTCAAACACAGCTGCTTATACTCGTGACTAAGCACAATGCTGTAACGCTCTCTTCCAGAAGTCTCACTCCGAAATCGGTTTGGCAACTGAAATATCAGCAGTATCCCCTTGTCCATGGCTAAGCGCTCTGTCTTCTTGGGATCTGAAAAGCAGTCGTGCTGCTCCTCAACAATAAGGGGAAAATAAGAATTGAATGTGCAAATAATGAAGGACAGATTTTACATAACACGATATTTGAGACCACTGGATATTTAGGCCGATATGCCCATGCTAAAAATCTTAGGGATGCTATGTATTTGGTTTGAGATGTATTAATTCTGGAAAGTTGAACTGAATACTCACGTGTGACTACAAGCTTACGTCCAGTGAGTTCTGTTTTGAGCTCGTGAGTAACTGGGTTGTAGGCTGCACATTTATAGGATCCTTTGTCTTCTAAAGATACATTCAAAATCTGCAGGTTTCCAGATGGAAGAATTAGGTAGTTGTCTAAACAAGTGGGGAAGGAAAAAAGAAGATTATATTTAAGTTTCAAAAAAGCTTCCTTTTTTTTAAATTTTTTTAAAATAACTTGTCAGATATATCAATTTATTCTAAATGCAGGATCACAAAGAAATCATGCTGTCACGCAAAGAACATTAATTTAAAAAGGTAGGTTTAGATAAAGTCATTTGCACAGGAAGTTCTGCAAGTTTCTGGAGTCTAGGTTTTTTTTTCCTTTAAGTTCTAAGAAAAAAAATCCAGGCAAGCTTTTGCTGAATATTTGTATTGCTGATCAGTGGCATAAAACATCTCACCTGTTGATTGTTCCAGCCATTTTCCACGCACTTGAAAGCGAACCTGTGCTTTAGGGTTACTTTCTGGCACCTTACATCCGATGAAAGCCGTACCTCCTTCCTCTGCTGCAACAACAGGTTTCACCGACATATCAAAATTAGCTAAACCTAGAAGAGAATTGTTAAAAGGTTAAGAGCAGCCTTAAAATATAGCTGGTTTCAAGCTGATTATCTTCTCCGGTGTAGCATTTGGACATTCATATCAACACGTATGGTCTTTTATGTAGTCTATAATAGCATAAACCCTCCCGTGTACATACACTTCCTTACTACAGAAAGGGCCAGCTTTTACATGGGAATAGTGAGGGGGGGGGAAAAAACTTTAGTTTCTACATTCCCTCAACTGCTCCAGGAAAAGCAAGCAGAGATTTTGGAAAAAGTGCAGTGCTACTCATGGGCTCTGAAGGCACTACAGAAGACAATTTACACTAACAGCAGGAAGCCTGTCCGTAAGAAACATGAAATTATCCTTCTGTGACCGTAAAACAGCACTGAGTACATTGCCATGAGTGATGAGGCAAGCAGAAAACCTCAACAGCTAACAGCACCTTCGAATTTACTACTAAAATCTCAAAAGGAGGAGAAAAGTGTGAAAGCTGCTTTTCGACTCCCTTCATGTTCAAAGCATCTTCTAGGTTGTGAAGTTTTTCTATGTTAGCCACCCTTACAGCTCTCCTGAGAGGGTCTTGCTATGGGTCAGTACTTTACCAAAACACTTACTTCTCTCACTTATAAGAAATTTTCCTCCCAGGGGGATTTTGGACATGCTCCATAGATGAGGTATCCTTACAGAGAAATCACTCAAATCCTGCTTGACAAAGGCCTGATTCAGACAGCCCCGCGATCCCAAGCAGACAAATCACACTCATGGAGGAATATTCTATTCCCATTCTCAGCACCACATCATCCTTTCTGTGTGGAAAACATCGCCCTTCCTCTTCTAAAGTCCTTTAAGATCAAATAATTTACAGATCAAGCACCAAGGCAAAGACTGATGAGAAGAACCAGTGCAACCGAGAGAAGGGAAATTATACCTAAAAGGACAGAAGACTGTCCCCAGCTGAAGGACATCTAGACAGCTTTGACTAAAGAAAATGCTACACGTGAAAAGGAAAATTTGCACTTATTTCGCAGGCAACAATTCCCACTCATTTCTTCTCAACTCTCAAGCATGCTTCTGCAATGGCATGGCAGCTCAGTTGCTCTTTCAAGATGCTTTTTGAAGAGAGGTTTTTGGGCACCTTGTACTTTCAGGTCAATTCATTGAAATGAATGTTATTTCACTGAATAATACTTATATTTGCTGGCAAGGACTCTTGAGGTCCTTCAGCTCAAAATGAGGCTAGCACCAACACTAAACCGACCAGGTGTAGCTTTGTCTAGTTGAGTCTTTAAAAACCTCTGAGGATGGGGATCCACAAGCTCTCTGAGGAATCTGTTTCAGGGCTGCATCACATGACAGGTCTTGGATGACATCGGAAAAAAAAGAATTGGTGAAAAAGATCATATACTAAGTACTGGCTGAGGGAAAAAAAAAAAACCACACAACAAACAAACCACCTTGAAACTAGGCGTTTTCCAAAAGTCAAAGAAAAAACAAATCATACAAACCAGATGAGGTCTACTTAATTTGCAAGGAACAAAGAATATAAAGAAAAATTAACTTACTGCCCGTCGATACTGTTGCAGGCCTGCTCACAACGGCGCCCACGCTACTGTTAGCAACGCACTGATAGCGACCAGACATCGAGAGGCCAAGGGAGACGATTGTCAAAGATCCTGACTGGATTTCCACTTCTCCCACCTTGCTGTCCAGAGGCTCCCCATTAAACAGCCAAGAAAGGCGAGCCGTGGAAGGCTCGGCAGAGCAGCGGAGATGTACGGGCCCACCAGACTTCTGGACAGTAGACAAGGGCTCAGAAATAAAACGGGGAGTTAAATCTAAAAGGAAAAAAGATATATATACTCAGTTAGCGAACAGCATTTTGCATGAACACAAGCGATAAGGTTAACGATGGATTGACTGGTATAAAAGAGTGACCTTGATCTGTGTTATAGGAATGCTCTCTCCTAAGGCTCCTGCCACTGCTCACAGACCTGGCAAACTTCTTTCATCAGGAGGTTAAATATTGCTCAAAGACGATTCAGATCAAGCACAGACAAATAAAGGCTCTCTCAACTCCAAGTTGCTAGCGATACTCGAGCAGGTGTCACCTTTTCCTTGGCAAGAGGAACTCAGGACAGATTCCCACTCTGTCTCAAACACCAGGAAGAAAAACCTCCAAGATCCAAACCCCACGAAGAGGGCAACAGTGATTAAATGAAGGTAGGTTCAGCATAGAGGAAGGGTGAGATACATCCCCAAGCGTGCACAAGGCAAAAGCATCACACTTGCTAGTGCTGGTAAAAACTGCAATCCCGCTGAATTTATTCGGAGTGAAACGGCACCCGTCACCTGAAGAGATGGAGTAGGGGAACACGCAGCTGTAGCTGATCTGTCCCATATGAAGCGGGCCTGGACGTGACTTGTAAAATTTTAGAAATGGCAGCAGCCTGCCAGGTATTTATGCAGAACCGTCTCCGAGTCTGCAGAACTAATTAAAAATAGCAGGATTAAAAAAAAAAAAAAAAAAAAAGCTGGATGAACAGCAAAGGCTCTTGTTAATTCCAAATACATGGACTTCATCAGGACGAGAATGATGAATTGGGCATCCATTATCTTTACTGAGTAAAGATGAACAGGAAAAGCTGCTAATAAATAAAAGGTTCAGTTCCACAAAACTTGGTTATGAGAGTCCATTTATTTGCCAGAAGAAAATTCCTGCTTGTTGGAGGAAATTTTTTCCTATCCTGGCCAATGAAAGACTGGGAATTATTTCCATTTGTTTTCTATGGAATTCTCTGCTAAAGATTTTGTATGAAGGGAGCAAGCAAAAGGCAATTAACACCAATAACTCCTATTTGGTTAGAAATGCAGGAGAAAAAAAATAAAATTAAAAAAATAAACACAGTGGCAAGGGAAAACAACTCCTAGTTTGTAAATGAGCTAAGGAATTCCAGACAGTACGGGTCAAGATGATATTAAATGACATCTAAATAAGAGACAGTTTTCTTGTAGGTGGGGCCCTCAGCTCATGCTTTTCTTCTAAAGTCAGTCCATCCAAGCTCTGTTTATGAGTTTCAGATGAGAAAGCGTGCATTTTTAACAGAACCATAAACTATCTGCATAAACATAAAATAAAACTGGAAATTAAAGTGTGGCTTCACTTAACAAAAAAAGATGAAATCCATAAAAATGGTATCCAAGCATTTCACAGGACTCCAGATGTCCATTTTTAGCTTTTAATTAGAAAACTGTTTTTCCTATTAGTTCAGTTTGAATTTCCAGGGATAAGAGAAAAGCAATGACCTTTGTAGTTTGCTAGCCACCAGTTGCTATGAAATTGCACTGTTGCTTTCATCTTCGCCCTTGCCCTTGCTTATGACACCATCGCTTTGTGCTCAGTGTAAAAGTCAAAGTTGGTAGCAGTGACCCCGCAGCTGGAATTTATCTCCTATGACTGCTTGAAAAATAAAATTTATCCCATTTGCTTATAATGATTGGCTATGAAGTGCTAAAAGTAGTAAAAGCTTCTTTTTTGTGTGGTTACGTTAAGACAAGCTGACTACACAGAGCAGATGTGCCAATTAAAACCATCCCTCTTCTTTTTTTAACACAAGAGCTGTTCCAACTGCAGCCACGCATCAGTGTTCACGTTTCAAAGATTCGATTCCCCTTTCCCCCTGCAAATTTCAAAACCCTCCCAACCCCATGGGAACGCAAGATGCACTGTACGCAGCAAAATCAGCATCCAGCTAAGCCCACGGAGGTCCCAAAGAACAAACCTACGTAACTGAGAGTCCTCCACGTTCTAGCACTTGTTTTGAGCCAAGTTTTCAAAAGCAACGCCATATATTCAGCTTAAGACTGCATTTAAGTGCTCTATGCTTCCTTAAAAGCAGATTACTGATAACATGCCTTAAAGTTGGCCACTTTGAAATGCACTCCAAATCGTTGCTCATTCCAAAGGACAGGCTCAACCTCCAAAACCTCCAAGCAAAGTCATCTCGGCTCAGGCGAGAAGGTCGTACCTGAACTCGTGGCAGAGATGAGACTCGCGGCAGCGAAGAAGAGCAGTAGTGCCTGTAAGCGTCCGGGATCCGGATGCATAGCGCCAGATTACACAAGTTGAAAGCAGGAAGCTCCAGACTAAGATGAGGCACCCAAAAATCTACAAAACAAACAAACAGATGTCTACATTAAGTTTCAGGAGTTAGTCTTTTAACTTTCTTACAACAAAGTGTTTGAGGTTTAAAAAAAAAAAAAAAAAAAAAAAAAAAAGAGCGTGACCAGGAAACGGCCAATATTCTTTGCAATATAGAAACCATCTGTAAAAATGAGTTTGAAATTGAACTTAACTATGTTTCCAAGTACTATTTTTAATAAAAGATATTTTCGACAGCTGGGGTACGAGGCATCTGCACCGAATCGTACTGCCTTGATAAATTAGACTACTTTCCAACCAGAGGAACTGAAGTCCAAAGTAAACAGCTTATCTATTGGAGATAATATTGTTTGCAAACAATAATCATTTGACCATCTATCACCAGGCTACACTTGTTGTACAAGTTTTTATGAATCTACATGCTGTGATGCAGCTTGTAACGGCTCTAAACCCGCTTACTGAGACATGTCATCTGCTTGCTCCTTCTAGCATGCTTTATAGTCAAACGACAGCAAATGCCTATGGAAAAAAGTCATCAATATTAATCTCGTTCTCATTTATATTCCCAAACCAATACTGCTTTCTCATATATACTTCTGCGGCATTCACGATGTACGCTTTTACTTACGTGGCCGCTTCTACTAGAGGATAGTCCTTTCCTTGGCCATATCACATCTGACTATTTGGCTGTGTAAGATCTTACTTTCCTCACCAAAAAATACAAACTAAATCATTAAAGTAGCAACCTAACTTGTATGAGGCGAGTCTCAGAAACAGCATTTCTGACAGAGTCTCCATCAAACTCCCTCTTCTCCAAGACGGAAAAAAAAAAACCTGCAGCTGTCCTTCATTTAAATTTTTTTTATTTGCCTTGTGTAATATTATGATGAATAAGATTTGAGTTCATTTAGCACAGTTACTTCATTTATCAGCCCGACCATACAGTTCCGCTGCTGATAACACTCAACATATATTTTAAACATCTCATATATCAGACGTGTATATAAACATATATATAACACACACACAATAACTAGGAGTTTCACTGGCAGCGCGCAGAAACAAGTGCAACAATACAGATGCTTGATAGAAATAAGTCCCACTTTACTGAGCATTCGCGCAGCCATTTGCTTTCCAAGAAGCCAGATCCAGACATCAACAGCAAAATTATTCCCATGGTTTATTTAAAAATAACAGTACTTTATCATCGGAACATCACTGTAAAATATATATATGCAAAATAAGTGCCGGGAAAAGCCTCCAATAATAATAAAAGTATGACTCTAGATTTTATAGAGCTATTTGCTTACTGCCACTTCTCCCTGCAAATTGCACTCCAGGCTTATAATGACAGCTTGAGAAGGCCGAAAGAAATGCTGTCGAGTTCTGCTCCCGTTTCTGGGCAGTTTTATCTGATCCGGCAAATTTATTTCAGCTGTTCGGAAGATCCGGTAATTCTGCAAACCAGGCTGGTTCCCCAACGAGAGCCAAGGCTGTTTTGGTAAAAGACGCAGATGGCAGAAGAGACCAGCTGTGGAGAAAGGGGTTTGGTTTATTTGAATTCTCGCTTGGTTCAAGGGCAGGAGAGCCGCTCCACCAGCGAACGCAGAAGACAAAGTAAACACCCAGAGAACTTGTTAACATCAAACACTTTGCTGAAGAGGAGGGGGGGGCCCAATGTTGCTTTTTGCCAAATCTTCCCTCCACTATTTATTTATGAAAAGCAATGAAACGTATATTCTAGGTCAACTTTAACCCCAGCACATGGAGCTACCGGGTTATTTTGCAGCTGTCTTTTTAAACAAGGCCAGCTCATTATCTTTAACTAAACTTTATCTTTGGAGATCTACTTTATCCAGTCTCTGATTTCCCTCTGTTTATCTTTCTCTTTACATGTTCCTAGCTGCCAGTGTCAACAGCTACTCCTCTTTTGACCTACCAGTTTGGCTTTCGCAGGCTTTCGGATGGTGAAAATCAACTATAAAGCAGCGATTACACAAAGCAAGCCACAAAGACCAAAGCTCTTTGACTGGAGGGGGAAAAAAAACCAAAAACCCACAACAAAAAAAACATGCTTTAATTGGAGTAGCATCGTTCAGCAACACCACTCAGGCACCCGAACAAAGTTTCTCAAACACCTACTTTTGAAGGGACTGCAGAAACGTCTTATTTGCTGGTAGATATGGGAACACAGGGGGAAGATGAGATTCAATGCGTGATACGCAACCCCAAAATATTTGCTTCTTTTTCTTTCACTACAGAAGCCCCTTGGTAGGTACAGAGAAGAGGGCCAGACCACCGCTCATAGTTTTGCAGTCTTTGTGAGGAAACCTTGCCTCTTTGATATTATATTTATACATATCCAAGTGTTAAAAGGCCTTGGGGATGGAAAAACAGGACTCTTCCCCTTTGCCATCATTTCAATAACCCTGAACTCCCATTCCGACAGCAAGTACCAGTCACTGGGGACCTACTGGGAAGGGAAAGCAGAGTACTTTGGTTAGATGTGGCTCCATTTACGCATCTCCAACTCCAAGCTGAGCTCACTCTGCCCACTATTTACTATTCCTCTCTTGAGAGGATGAAATCTTCATCACTGGTGGATCAAATAGTCAAAAGTTGTTTTGAAGTAAGAGATGCCACTGAGAAAAGGGGCTATTTCCGAGCCTTTTAAAATAAAACAGTAGTAACAGGAGTTACTCATATAAATAATATTCATGGTTCAACAGAGATGGACACGGTTTTCATGGAGCAAGAAAAAAGTCCTCTCCACTTTCACTGGCAATTTCTCCAGACCATCAGAAAGACACAGTGCAGCAAAGGCCCATATTTTTCCTCCTTCCACCGAGACAGCTTCATTTAAAGTCATCTTCCAATTATTTTCATTATTTCCTCCTTGTCAGCTCTAAAGTAACTTGCTGCTTGTGGATCAAGGGAAATGAGGAAGACAATGGACTCATGTCAGGAGTCGTCGTCGTCCCGACCGTTCCGACAGATGCCCACCTCTCGGAAGCACGGTACACACGCAGGGGCATCCAGAAACGCATACCTGGAACTTTTGGAGATAATTAGTACAACGGAGTACTTCTGAAGATGACATAATTCTGGTTGCGCACCTCATTTGTCACAGACCCTTTTTAAAAGGGATCCCTCGCCAAACAGCCATGGGGACAAGCACGTGCTTGTCCATCAGCTCACACTTTCGGCCCCGCGACCTTAGGGATGCCATCTCCAGGCAACCAAAATAAATCATCAGAGTTAAGTGCCAACAGAGCAGAAAGGTGCATTTTAATAAGTCCTTTTAGGAGCAGCAGAGAGGTTTCCCAGTGCAGGAGCAGGGCTGTCCCCACTGTTAGCCAGCACAGGCCGGCTGGGTTCTGCAGGGCAGCTTGCACACAATCACTTGGTTGTCCAGGCTTGAAGACCTCACCGGGACGGACACGGACCACACCGGGCCAGCGAGCAGCCCTCGGCACACAGACTTACCAAAATGTCCTACTGGGCTGAGATGGGAAGACACGAGCATGGGACCGGCCACGCAGGCTTCTCATTTCTGCTCTGGACAGACTCAGCACAGCCCGGGCAGTGACCCTCTCCTCTCTTCCCAAAACTTCACGCTTGTTGCTCCTTCTCCAGAAACCAGTGGTCTTCAATGTAAGGCTCCACATGTCTGATCCGTTCAGGGTAACTAACTTAACCCATCACCTCCACGTTAACTCACTCCTACCCATGCCTGCCCCTCAAAAAAGGGTTAGCACTCTAAAAGATTACTAAATGCTGCCGTTTGCCACGCACTCATACGGTTCCCAGCTCCAGAGGATCCTGTGTCCTTCAAAACACTGAGAACCTGCCCTGCTTATTTACCAGACCATGAACTTCTCATCTCCACCCTTGGAACTGAGGGCAGAGTCACTCCTAAAAAGAACATTATCTCACACCCTTCCCCACCCCACCGCCCTTTCTCATAGTTTTTGTTCCCTCTGGTTTAGCTCCCTGAATCATCTTCCTGCCATCTCCAACCAGCTGGCAGGACACCCTCCCTTGCCAAAAGCAAGCAGCCACCAGAGCTATTTAGCCACCAACCCCACCTCAATCTAATTTCTGTCATATTCCCACTCCATCACTCCCCTCCAAAACCCATCTGACCTTCAGCGAGCCGTCTCAGCATGCTGAAGCTAAAGGATGAAAGGGTTTTCTCACCAGCCAAACGCACCGGGTCCTATAAATGTCGGAGCAAAGCGTGGAAGGAGGAGGAGGAGGAAGGAAACGGCACGCTCGGGAACAGAGGGAGTTATTCAGGTTGCCCACTCCACCTCCAGGAGCTGAGAGCTTTCTCTAAGGAACCTGAGGAAAAAGCGATGGAGAGCTGCTGCCTCAGGGCACCGCTGCCCACCAGCTGCAGACAGGACAACACAGTTTTCACTTGGAGTAAAACACCTTCAGGTACTAAAGATTTCCTATTTTTCCTAAACGGCAGCAACTCAAAATCAATTAATCCAACCTCATTTTATAATACTAGATGTGCTTTAACACCTAAAGCACAGCAAGTTGGTGTGTTGGTTTTTACCCCCCTTCCCCCAGGTCATTTATTACAGAATTACCAAGAAAAAGTTTAATCTTAACTTGCTCCCCAGTACAACAAAAATCACAGATTTTCAAAGCACCTCAATTTAGAGCAAACGAACCCCCAGAATTAACTAAAACAGCGCGCCTTTAGCGCAAACAAGGCGAGTTAGATCATTAAATCTCACACCAAGACACCTTAAAAAAAAAAGGTATTGAAGCCTGTGGCATTCCAAGAGAAAGCAATCAGACATTCCTGCAGCTCGGCTCCTCAGTGATCTCCAAAGCCTTTGATCACTGACTGTCTTCACGCTGTCCTCCTGGGGTCTGGCAAAATGAGTGTAACAGCTGGCATATATACTTCATTAGCTTTTTGTGCTGG